CCTCATCTCGACAACCAGCCCAGCACCGCTTTAAGCTCTAGCGTCCACGACAAGCTCACCTGGCTCGATCCCTTTACAAAGCCGCCCCGTCGCGATGCAGCTGCCTCCGAGCCTCCCCTAAGAAAACAGAGGGTCACCAGAGCGCTGCTCCCCCGCCCCACTCGCACACCACCCCTCTCGCAGCTCCCCCCCTTCGCGGACCCCGCTCCCCGTCACGGCCGAGGTACGGCCGGGCCCCCACAGCCTCCCGCCGGTTGCTATCCCCGGACTGCCCCCATCGCACAACCCGTTATCCGCCCTCCCCCCCCGCGGCTCCATCAAATCAGCGGCCGCAATCCTAGCGGCCTCACCCGGAGGGCGACAGCAGGCTGCGGCCCGTCCGCAAAGCTACAGCCGTACGCCGAACCCGACCCGCACACCGCGACAGCCTTCTCCCGCCGCCGGAAAACCAGTGTCCCCCGAGCCGCCTAATAAACCCCCGGCGTCCGCGCGCCCGTGACGCCTGGGCTGAAGCGGAGGATGTGATTGGCAGCCATGGAGGATGAGCACCGTCGGGAGCCAATGGAACTGCGGCTGCGGGCGAGTGGGCGGGCACCGCAGCTTGGCGCTGGCCGGAAGCAGGGGCAGCTCGAAGGACGGGGGCGCGGGGGTTCCTTTGCTTCGTGGTGCCTTTGCTTCGCGCCTCACAGATCTGTGGTGTCGTTCCGAGCGTGGGGCAGGCCCTGCTGGCGGGCTCTGTAAGGGCACGAACCACAGGCACCAGAAACGGCAGTTCCAGAACCAGCACTACCGACACCTTACGTGCTCAGATTTTCTCACAGGCACGGATCACCAGGCTGCAACCTGAGCCCCAGCCAGGCTGCAGTGGCCAGTCAATACAATCATCTCCAACAGTCTTCAAGCAAGCGTACGTGCTTGCTTGAAGCGTAAGCATTTTGTTAGCGTGGCAAAAGCAGCCAAACGACATGATTTCAGGCTCCAAGTCCAAGCCGCGTCCTGTTTAGAGCTCTCACAGACAGCTCCGCTCTTCTGGCAGCTATTATCTAGCAGGCCAGCTGGCAGTGTTTTTCAGGGTCTCTGCTCTGGAACCCTTCCAGACCGTAGCAGATGCTTTTTAGCTGGAATGTTTATAGTTGAAGCAGTCTAGGAAACTCCCTTCCTCAGCACGTAAGCTTCTGCTTGGGCAGCAGTGCAACTGCATCGCTCCGAAGGACGGCCAGGAGCCGAGCAAGGCAGCACAAAAAAAAACAGAATGGAGGGAGGAAAGGCAAATTAATGACTGATGAGAACTGTGGCCAACGGGAGCATTCTCTGCTGCTGATGCTCTATGCCCTTGGTACATTTTCTTACAATAGTTCCTTTGTTTAAAGCTAGATCCAGTGTTTGCCACAAAACCTAGTAACTTCCAGAACACCCTGAGCTCATTGCTTTAGCACTACTTGATATATGAGCTGTCTTCCTTAATAATTCCATCTTCAAAAGAAGCTCCTGTAATCAAAATCCTCATAGTTTTTAATAACACTGAAACCTCTCCAAAACTTCCTCTTAGGTGTTTTCCTACCGCATGAATTTGTGTATGCCCTCCTCAGCTGTGCCCCTCCCTTCCATCCTTGGTTTCTGCCAGGAACATGCCCATTCCCTCTGCCCCACAAATGTCTGGCCAGGGAAACCCCTCCCTTGTTTTTGGATGCATGTACATTCAGGCTGTTTTCAACACTGACTGTTTTTCCTCTACAAAAGTTCTAGATACTCTCTTCTCTCAGTCATTTATCCACACTATTGTTCTCCCACATTTCTAGGGCTGAATCATTTTTCTGCCGTTTATCTGATGGTTCTTTTCCATTCAAGGCCAGATTTGTACTGAGGGAGGTCTGGGAGTACAACATACTCCATAAAAGGAGATAAATATGCCCTTATTTCCCCTGGAGGACTCCAAACTGTTATCTCCTAAAATCAATCTGGCTACATCGACTTCCCTGCCCACCACCCCCAGTGCAAACTAAACACAAGCATCATCTCATGATGAAATCAGCTGCAGGAAGGACAGATACACACCATGTGTTAACTTCCCTATTGGCAGGACAGTGCTATCCAGGAGGGAGATCTCTCTTTAAATATCACAGCCATTATATTTGTCCATGCCTTCAGTCTCCTTGCCTATTCTTCATGCCTCAGCTTGAGGCATGGTTACTCTGGTTTAAATGACCATTTTAGTCACTGCCTTCTCAATCACCCTCATTTTTTTTCATCCTACAAAGGCTGCAAGTCCACAAGATATCAATACGTTTTCATCCAAGCCTGATCTCTAAACCCACTTGTTTAGCTGAGTCCCATGCAAATCTACATGCATTAATGTACTGGAAGCTGTTTGCCTTGTCCCTGAGACAACAGCACAGTCCTGTTTGCCCGAACTCCTTCATACATCTCCCACACACGGAACTCTGGTCTGTAATACAAGCACAATAAGGCTCCATCAGAGCTCAGAGAGCACTTATCGGGTAAGGACATACCAGTCCTACACTTGTCTTTTTGTTACAGCCACTCACTGCATCTTGCATTCATCAGACAAGTGGTTCTCAACATTTTCTTGGTTCAAAATACCTATGTGTCAGTAATTTTTCATCACACGCCTACCTCTGTTTGCCAATATATCACACAACCACATCTTGAACCAAGCCTGTTATTAACTAAAACTTGGGGGTAAACCAGAGTAGTGAGGCTTTCTTCATGCATCAATTAGTCTTTAAGCTCCTCGGCAAAGGGCCTCTTTCACCTTTTGTTGAAAAAGTCCCCTATGCAATCATGCTTTCATTTGTAAATACAGCAAGACTTTCATCTTGTTTGGGTATGGAGGAAATATATAGCTTCACCCCTCTGTGTTGTTTCTCATTTAGTCAAAACCAAAAGCATAAATCCATGTGGAAGACAAAGTATTCTATTTGTTTTGTTTTGTTTTGTTTTGTTTCACTTGAACTCCATTGCTTAGGAGGAAAATCTATTCAAATAAAAGAGGAGTGTATAACCATTTAAACTAATCTTGAGTTTGTCACCAGTAACATAGCTTCAGTTTAGTAAATATAAATCCTCTTCTGTATCATTAAGTACTAAATAAGACTGATAAAGAGGAAAAACACAGCACAGTCTTCATTTCATTGTATGCAAAGCAGATAGAGGGAAGCCGCTGTGGGATTATCACACTCCAAAGACAAGACAGAAAACCAATTTATATAATCCCTATTGCTAGGTACTGGTAATTTTATTCTGAAGTAGTAATTGGTTTTGCTTTGAGGAAAGAAAGAAATTTCTGGATATGCCCTGGAATACCTTCTGAAAAAAAAAAAAAAAATCTGTTCGTCTGAAATCTTAACTTAAAAATATTACATTTCTGCATATTCCAAGATGAAGACATACACATGCAAAAACATACACAAGGAAATCCTTTTATTCTCTACGTACTCAAAACCATTCAACAGTAAATAGAAACAGCTCTGAGCCATCTTTAGCTAAACACTGCGCCACAACAGGTGCCTAGACACTACAGGAAGGTGTGTGGAGCCAAAGGCTGAGAACATTCCTGTCACTTTCCCTTGACCCAACAATGGCCCAGCACTTTGCTTTTATACTCCAAAGCAAAGATATGCAGGTATCCAGCCCACCTTAACAGCCATCGTCCTAATCCCAAAAGAACTCTAAAATAACAATTCATTCTGACAGTTTTCCCACTTTTCAACCAAGAAACATATTCTGAAGATCTAGGTAGCTCACTTAAGTACAGATTAATTTATTGTAACAATATCAAAAGTAAGGGAAATCTCATGATGAATCTGCTATTTGTTCCCCCCATGATAAACAAAATGTTACAGACATCAGACGTCAGTAAGAAACTGTCTGGGAAGAGATAATTCAAAAGTAACTGCTCTTAAAAAAGCAAGCAGCCGGGTGGTGTCTAGTCAAGACACGATAAGTTAGTTAAAAAACAGACTGCAGAGTGCTGATACTACAGCATGGTTACAGCACGTACGAATCTGAGCAAATACAACCAACAGCAAAAAAAAAAATGGGAAGTCTAGTATTTTGGAGAATGGTAAGAACGACAAGCACACAAAAGACATGTTCAAATTTGCTTGTGCTAATGTCCTTCTATTAAAATAATGGTTCATCTTTAATGAGCTGCTGAGCTGCTTAAGACATTTTCCTCCCTTGTTACAGTGTAGGTTAACCAGAAACTTGTTGATGTGTTTGAGAAGAGCTGTCTCCATCTGTATTTAATATGCCTGTTTTCTCACAAACAGTCTAAAAATCACGAAGGTTTGTCCTGTGCTGCTTTATTTCCATGGTATGATGCTCTCTTGCAGACACCAGTTTACAAAAAAGCCTAACTGATGGTTTGTTTGGTTTTAAATGGAGCAAAAAAAACCAACAAAGACTTTCCTGTATAAAAAATCTGTTCTGTGTATCCTGCTTGGATAAAGAACAGAACTGAGTCACAGTGTTCTACCTTACCACAACTTCTTGGAATGCAGTGGTGTTGCCCCTGATTTACAAAAGCCAGAAAAATCGTGCCTTTTTTCTACAGGACCGTTTCCCAGGCAACCTTAGGAGTTAAGTCCCTAAATCAACAGCTGTACATCACAAGTTAATTCTTTTTTTTTTTTTTTTTCCCCCATCCATTTCTATAATGAAGAAGCTGCATGAGTGGAAAGGCAGCCAAGACTTGCCCTTCATGCAAACAAATCATGCTTGGATGGGGAGGCAGGATAACCAATTCCCCAGAATTCTTAAGTCCAGTTTTCATCTCATACCTGTTTTACTCACTTGGAAATCTACTAATTTAAATCACTCAGTGTCTGATTTTTATTCTTTTTTGCTTTGGAATTACCCTATTCTCTATTTATATCAGTTTTAGCTGTCCACAGAAGAAAAAATATTTTACTGTATTTCAGCATCTCCCTTACAAAAAGGATAATACAAATTAAAAAAAAAAAAAAAAGACAAACTTTTCTGCTTCCCAAAGACACCAGGTACTAGCTATCATTTGACACTTTGAATAGGTCAAGTTCTTATTTAAGTATTAAGTGCTGCCACCTCTACCTTTTCTGTGCAAGAGCACACCTACAATCTACCAAATAAACTACTGAGCTCAACTCAGTAGATCTGTCAGAATAACACATGGGCAATACGGTGCTGCCCTTTCTAAAAAGGCATCTTCAGAACTAGTATGTATCTGGTAAGGAGCTGTTATCTCTGTTTGTCGTTGTTGTTTTAGTACCTCCAGGAGGATATTGCAAAATGAGGTCTGTGCTATTGGACCAACGCCTCATATCCTTTTAAATATATAGGTTCTCATAAACTTTAGACACAGAGAAGTCAGTTCGTCTGGCTGCTGGGTTGCATCTAGTTTATCAGGGCAGCTGGAAGCACATGCAGCCCAAATTAACTTACCCATCTTCTGCATCAACCCACATGTGGCCACCACCTCTACTCAGCTCTTCAAGGTACAGACATTCTGATCTGGGACATGACAACCTCACAAGCCCCCTCTAAAAGTTCGTATCACTCATGGGTCCTGCTTTGTGACAGCAGAAAGACCACATGACACTCTGCCCTTGCATTCACAAAACCTGAGCAACTTAGTTAAAACAGTTGACATGCCTGGCTTCCACAGAAACCCGTCCTAACCTGCACAAGGAAATTGCAGCTTAATTAAAATTTTTCAAAAACTGATGCTGTAAAATTAATGCTAACTCCGTGGGAGGAAAGAGATCATTTTACTGGAGAGTGCTTTCTGTATTTACAACTGAAGTAGGTAGGAATACATTTAAGTTAAAGCAATATACAATGGACTTCAAGTGATATGTGTCCATAAAAAGACATTTGTATCAAGATAATGAAGCAGCGCAAGATTTGTATGTAGACAAGACTGAGAAGAAAATGTAAACATATTACACTTGGGGAATAGAGTGGACACGCCTTGTTTTGCCTTGCACTCCTGTCAACATCACCTACAGTGCTTCCAGGGCTTTTTTCACTGCAGTCTCAAAGTTTTATTGATCCCCTTTTCCTCTCTCACACACCTTCAGTTACCCTCTTGTTGGCAAGTTACAACTCTTTGTGTCACCAAAACACCTCATTTGGTGTAACTCGAAAATGACACCTTCACCTAGTTCTGCTAGGTTAAAAGCCTTCTCTTCAGGACAGCTACAAGCTCATATCCCAGACTTTCCCCACATTTCTTCGCTTATAATGGTACTCCTTCCTTTGGCCTCAGAACCACACTCACTGCGACTTCCTGTGAAGCCAAAACATATCATTTCAATCTCCTTGTGCCGTGGCAGTGTCAGAATGTGGTTGCTGCTCCTTGGATGTCCACCTTTCTGCACAAGGTCGCACACGGAGACTCAGCAAAAGGATAAAAAAAGATCATAAATTGTTTTAACCCACTCTGCTTTCTTAGCCTGGCATGATATCCCAGCTCCTGCTCTATCTGCTTCAGTCTGACATATTTACTCTACAGAGTGGGAAAACTGCCTGGGAAAAGGTCCACTGTTAGTTACTGTTTTTCTTGCTCTTCTCAGTTCTTTCCCCCAGATGCCAGCACACTCATTCCAAGGCTGTGATGTAGATCCCTTGCAATTTCATCTTTCCCACTGGGCCCAAACCATCACCACAGATGTATCATGAGATGCACTAGGATCACAGGAGATGTACGGGGACAAAGCAGTGGAAAACAAATGTTGAAATCTCTTAAACATGGAAACATTGAAACAGCAGAAATCCTGACTTCCAACTCCTCTGAGGACTCCACAGATAATATGCAAAACAAGACAGAGTCTGGCATTACACTGGCTGGAGAAAGACACAAATGACACTGTTAGCGGAATTTTTAACAAAAGTCTTCCTCCAATCCCACTGAACCAGTGGAAAACATCCCAGTGCAAGTAGCCTCTGGCTGCTAACATGTACTTGACACCCCAACCCCATACTGCACACACTGCTTTCCACCTCCTGCAGACAACCCACAGTGCCCAATGATTGGTACTGTCAAAACAAGTGGGAGGTCCTGACCACATTCCTGTGCTGCCAATTATCATAAATCCATCCCTTCCACATTCTGGACAGGCTCTCTGTTTCTCTGGGATACACAGCATTCCCCTGGGATGTCGTAGTTTAAGTGCTTGGTTAACTGGAGGTGGAAAACAGATCTGATTTGCATCTCACACGTATCAATTCTTAAAAGCACCGGACAGAGAACATCCTTCAGATGGTCCAGTGAGATCAATCAGGAAAAGCCATCTTATATCTCAGTGCAAATGACAAAAGGGAAAAAGGACAATTTTTTAGTCCCCTCAATTAAGGAATTGGGCAATTCGGAAAATCAGTTTGTTACTTATTAATTATAAAAATTTCTGCTAGTTTTCTCTTCAAAATTCATACCAAATCTCTTCATACCATAACAGAAAATTTTGATCCCTTAGCTTCATTACAATCATAATGTTTATTCTGTTTATTTTCTTTTTATTGAAAGGAAGTAGGAAGAAAGATTTTCACCTTCTCAACACTATAAACTCTTCAGAATACAATACACATTTCAATTTGCTAAGATACTGGTGAGGAAATTTCACAGCAGCGATGTTGTCGCACACAGGTTTAACTCTGCCCCCGTGTGTTCAAACATGAAAATATACTCTTCATTCCATCATCTCGGTTCTACGCTACTTTTGTGCAAAAGGATACATTACTCTGTGATACCAATTAAATAACATTTAAATCGTGTTGCTGATGGTCACCTTTTTTTTGTTGGCCGTGTGCCTGTGGCCTGTACCAATAAATTGGGAAGAATGACAAGAAAAGTACAAGCAGTTTTCTACACAGCTTACAAGAAAGACAATCCTCTCAAGACTGAAAAAACTGGGACCTACTTTGACTTCTCAGCTTTACTGTGCATGTCCTGCATGAAGTTCAGCAGCCCTATTTGATCAGTGCCTCAATTCCCACTCAGACTTGTGCATTAAACCACCTCTCGCCCATGGGGATGTCTGCATTTGTAAAGATTCTCCACGTCTCTCACCATCCATCTACACCTGCAGGCAGGGATACTGGGCTCTGCCAGGTCAACTTAGGTCACCAGTGGGGCTGCAGGCTCTGGGGAAAGGGGTAGACGCTGCATCCAGCCAAGTCTCCCAGCTATGAGGGCAGAAGCACGCAATGGCTCTGTGAGCAGTATCCTGCCATCTCTTGGAACTCCAGTTTGCTGAGTCATGTTAGGGCAACCTCTGGGCAACTGCCACTAACTCAAACAGGCAGTAACAAAAAGGGCAAACTTCAGAAGTGTGTTGTCAATCTCCACCAAGATACATGCCAGCAACTGTGCACAGGGGCAGGGCCTGCACAAGCACAGACCTGCCAGGCACAGCCATCCTCAGCCACCCTTCTAGAAAAGAACAGATTGGGAAGAAAAGTCCATGGGTTGTGCTGCAGCATGCCCGGTGTTGAGGATAACTTTTGTGACTTTTGATTTCAGCTTACACGCAAGTTTACTTGCGTGAACTGAGATTAATCCAGAGCCTTGTTACTGGACACGTGAGAACTCAAACACACATGCTGCTCCACCATCCTCCCCCCGCCCAGAGGCAGCACCATCACGATTAAATAGGCTGGGCAGGAAGCGGCCACAGCACAGCCAGCCTGCAGCCTGAGGAGCCATGGCGACCTACGTGCAGCTGAACACCGGAGCCAAGATGCCCATCCTGGGGCTGGGCACCTGGAAGGTAACAGCTTGACAAAAAAGCACTCGTACTGCTGAGATCCCTGGTACCAAGATCGCTTGCTTCTGCTCTGCCTGGCTGCGGGACTGAGCCTGTGTGAGAGAGGGGCTACAGAGTAATGGCAGGAGGAGGGATTTGAGTTTCAGAGCACTGATCTTGGGAAAAAATAATATCAGGGAGGGTTACTTTCTGTAAGGTAGTTTTCCCATTCATCTTTTACTACGAAACAGGCAGTGTTCAAACTGCAGTGATTTGAACTTCTACAGAAATCATTGTTGTTTCCAGTCCCCACCAGGACAAGTGACAGCTGCAGTGATGGCTGCAATCGATGCTGGATACTGACACTTCGATGGTGCCTATGTGTACCAGAACGAGAAGGAGGTTGGGGATGGGATCCAGCAGAAAATCAAGGAAGGCGTTGTGAAACGAGAGGACCTCTTCATTGTCAGTAAGGTAAACCTCTGATGTCCTGTCCCAAAGCAGGAGATGGGAAATGCTTTGCTGTGCTATTCGCAGAGTTGGTAGCTTAGAGAAAAATGTTATATTGTAGTTTGTAGGCATTCAAAACATCCTTCAAGTCATTCCTTATTCCAGTTTATTGCTTAACCCCAAACCCTATGCATTCTCAGGAAGGATATGAATCACTGATTCTGGAAACAACACTTGAATTTCCACACACCAAGTATGATTTTCTTGCACTCAGTAGACAAGGACAATGAGATCGCTGAGCTGTGAGTGGAGGACAGAAACCCTCTTTTCTTCCCAGTTCACTGACAGACTGCTCCCCATTCAGTCTGAAATCACCTGGAGAAGACAGCACTGTACTAGCAGGGACCTGTCTCTAAAGCCAAGGGGAAGCCCTTCCTTCCTTCCCTCCTTTCTTCAGCACATTCTCTCCCTGTGAATGGCTCCTCCTATCCACATCCCTGAACAACAGCCACTCTTCCTCTACCCAACGCACCACAGCCCAACAATTCGTGGAGGGGAAGGAGAAGTGCTGCGGCATGAGGAAGGCAGTAGCCCTGCACCTCATGCCCCTGCTGGAGCTCAGAGACATCCTACACACCATGGGCACGGGTGAAGGGGAGCAGGAAAAGAGATATAGGGCCATGTAGGCAGAAGAAAGTTAGACATCAGAGACAAACTGCTCTGAGATCACATGTGCTAGTAGGTTGGTACAGGGGCACTACCAGTGTGCTAATGGCACCCTCATGATGACAAAGCACAGCAGAGCAGACAAGCATTGCAGCGGTAGTGCCTGTGGAGCACCGCAGTTCTTGCTCCAGCAGTGGGGCTCATGAGGCACATGAGGTTCTGGGCAGTTTGTCAGATGCCTTTATTCCCCATGGCCTTCCAAAGAAGATGGAGCATTCCTGTCATCCATGAAAAGGTACACAAAGTTTTAACCCAGGAGATCACACTGTGGCTTGCCTTCTTGTCTCCAGCTGTGGTCCACATTTCATGAAAAACATCTGGTGAAGGGAGCCTGCCAGAAAACTCTTGCTGATCTAAAACTGGATTACCTGGATCTCTATCTCATCCACTGGCCTTCTGGCTTCAAGGTACGCTAAAGACAGTTCTGTTTCCTTGCTTTCTTGGGTGGGATCTACATAGGTGACAACTATGCTTTCAGCACCACTGCTGTTCCTGTCTCGAAACACGACGTTGTTCTGGCGCTGTCATTCTGTTCTACTCTGGCCATGTGAGCCAGGCTCTGGAATTCTGCCCACAATCACACTGCGTGCATGGCATTTTCTGTCCTCTTGATAATGGGAGAGTAAGATCTAATTGATGGCAAGGATGCCCTGATCCTGCCTGAATTAAAAGTATAAAATGGTTCAAGACTTAATTATCTTACAATGAGTATTAAAGTGAGTGGATTTTTTTTAATTCCACCTTAGCTTCCTATACTCCTGTTTGATTTACTTACAAATCTAACTTCCCTAAAGGGAATGTTACAAACGTTTTTATTCCATGCCCACAGGCTGGAGAGGATCTATTTCCCACAGATGACCAAGACATGATTATACCCAGCAATACCGACCTTCTACAAACATGGGAGGTAAGTTCAACCACAGAAACAGTCCAGTTTTCTCTGTCTTTGACAGTCATTTCCACACTTTCATTGCATTCAACACCCTCAGAAATGTCCTTTCACACATGTACATTTAGTAGGGAGGAAATCAAGGAAATACAAGGTATATGTTTGTGTGCTTAGTATTACTTCCACACTATGGATCCCTGCACATCTAACTCACAGTGAGAGCCAAAATCTCCTTCAGGAAAGCTGCAGACCACAGAGAAGATGGAAAAAGTTCCCAGCTTGAGCATATCAACTGTCCAATGCACCACAAGTCTTGTCCTCAGGCAGTTCTTGAAGGGCTCAAACACATTTTGCAGGAATAAAGACATTCTAGGTTATGAGCTTACCCAGAGCTAGGGGCACAACCCAGCTGTGCTTCTACAACATGCAACATCGTGTGATTTTTTCACAATGTGAAGGAGTGAGACTTTGAGCTTGGGGAAGATCTCACTGGCATTTCCCTCAGGGAGCACAGTGGGTCTAAGTAGTTAATCTGTGCTACTCATGAAAACAGGGAATTATGCCACAGAAGAGCATCTTCAGGATCCATCTTCCATACCGGATGTTGACTTTGCTCCTCTTTCTGCTAGGCCATGGAGGAGCTGGTAGATGCCGGCCTGGTAAAAGCCATTGGCATCTCCAACTTCAACCACGAGCAGATTGAAAGAATCTTGAACAAGCCAGGACTGAAATACAAGCCTGCAAACAACCAGGTAAGCTGATAAGTGATCCCACCTATACATCTTTCATTGACTATGAAGACCTGATCCATTGACTGGGAGATGGAAAAGGAGAACAATGTGAAGAAGACATTTATCCTTAATCCAGCTCTGTGGGTATTTCTGTGTACAAAAAGCATTGACGTATTCACCATTTGTCTCACGTTGATGAACTGCAGTACACAAAGGCAGATGTATTTCCTCATGAAATGTTGTTTCCGAAAGGATAAAGAAAACAGAGCTGAGTGAAACCTCTTCAGACAAACTGTGCAAAAACTTTCCATGATAATTGGTTTTTAAGAGATAATGACAGTTGCATGTTATCACCCAAGACATTAGTCCGTTTGTCCAAAAGGCAGATTCTAACTGCATTTGGTGACAATTATTGACACACAGCAATATCACAGTGGTTCTGACACCATCATCCTCTGTACTTTCATGTTTCCAGATTGAATGTCATCCATACCTGACACAGGAGAAGCTGATCAACTACTGTCAATCCAAAGGGATTGCTGTGACAGCATATAGTCCCTTTGGCTCTCCTGACAGGCCACGGTAAGATTATCTGAATTTTTGAACTGGAGCTGGCAGGAATTTGCCATGAACTATTGCCACTACAACTCCATTAATCATTCATCGTGATACACAGATATCTGTTGCTACGCTGGATGTTCCTGTGGAGGTTTCTTGCCATTGATGAATGACATTCTTTTCTTTGTTTAGGGATAAGCTAGAGCACCCTTTACCTCTGGATGACCCCAGGATTAAAGAGATTGCAGCCAAGCACAGCAAAACAGCAGCACAGGTAGGTGGGTGCTGGACGGTGAGTACTGCTTCCCATAACTCTGTGATTAACAAAAATTAGGCCGGAGAAGGAGATCAAATCTAAACCCGTTCTCTACAAGTTGTGGCACTCCTCTGATTATTCCCGAAAAATGCAGATGCTTGCCTGTAGCTTGCAATATAAGCCACTATTGCTTCTTTGGCCATAAACAAAGAAAAGATTCTTGACCCATCTTCAGGCAACGCTTCTCCTCAAAAGTTCCATTACAGAGAATGGCAACCTCGTATAAATCAGTGAGAGTCCAGGCATGAGTGAAAATAAGCAACTGTATCCAAACCAGATTGGGGAAGAGGCCTCCCTTGTAGTGACCCACCACTCCCGTTTTTGCTCATCACAGAGCCCAACACGGGCCACAGGACAGGAATGACTTGAAACACTGCTGTGTAAAGGTGGCTGCACATACGGCAAACCACTGTTGAGCACACTCAGCTTCTGTGGTAACACCACCTGTCTTCTCCTTGATTCGGAGGTCTCTTCCTGCAGGTTCTCCTTCGCTTCCAGATCCAGAGAAATGTGATTGTGATCCCCAAGTCTGTCACACCACAGCGCATTGTGGACAACTTCAAGGTGGGTGAATACAAGTGACTTGGCATCATTTTCCCCAGCAGAGCAAGCACAGATCCTTCCTCAGCCTTCCCAAGCCCTTCTCAGAAAAGAACACAGGACTTTTTCTATCTGCCTGTTTACCTCTACTAAAGGAATATTCAGAGCAGACTTGGAGACCAAGAACAGAAATATAGCAGAAAAACCAGACACAGAATATACAGTGCTCATAAAGAGTTCTTGTGTTAATTAAAAGTGCAGTCCTCTATCTCTTCTTAAATCAGCAGTCCACGATGGAAAATGGATCCGCCTCTATGAATCTGCTGTCTCAGCCTGTCTGTCTTCCTCACGCTACTCCAGTTCTTTCAAAGAGGTGATTTCCAGCTTTTTCTCTTGTTAGGTCTTTGACTTTGAATTGACTAAAGAAGAAATGGCAACTCTTCTCAGCTTCAATAGAAACTGGAGGATGGGTTTATTAAGCCAGTAAGTGACATCAATTCTTTACTTTCAAGTCATACCTTCTGAATTATCTCCACCGTGTGGTTTCTGTCAGAGCTACTAGGCAGCATGAAATTCATTGACAAAAGTTACTAATTCAAATAATAGAAGGTTTGTCCAAAAATACTTTTGCAACAGACAGGTAAATATATTCATTTTGAAATCAAAGGAAAGAAACAGCAGACCACACACTCATTTTCAGTTCAGTTTCCAGGGAACTCACTAACTTCAACTACAAAAGATGGGTTCTCACGCATCATTATGTCTTTTTCCACATTAGAAAAACTGGGATGCATATCTTCACACATTCTTCCGGCAATTACGTAATTCAGATCATAGAGTTATAGAATCATAAAATCAAAGACTCACAGAATCATAGACTCACAGAACAGCTCAGGTTGGAAGGGATCTTAAAGATCACCCTGTTCCAACACCTCCGCTATTGGCTGGGATGCCAGCCACTTCATCAGGCTGCCCAGGGCCCCTTAAAATCCCCATTTAGCGACTCCTCTGCGTACCGAACACACCTCGATCTAACACATGCTTTAGCCATTAAAAGTACTTTCTCTTTTTGATTTCTTTCAGGGCCAGAACACACAAGGAGTACCCTTTCCATGCAGAATACTGATGCTGTTTGTAACCGAGCCTTCTCTAGACCCCTGGTGTTTCATGTGCCTCTCCCCTAGCTTTCAGATCTGTATCCAGCTTTCTTACTGTGTCTGTCCTGTTGCTGTCAGTGAAGTCAAAGTACATTTACTCCAATGCTTCCATCCAATTTCGTTCTTTGGAAAATGGAAGGAGTATTGCCCAGCAGAACAAAATGTGGGATGTAATAATTTTCTGCTTATCAGAAGAGAGGAGAATTACTGAAGTATCTGGGCAGAACTACTAAGTGGAAAATGAGGACAGTTTGAACACTTGAACCACTGTTCAGCAAGTGCCTTCAGTCTTGCATCAGCACAAAGTAACTATAAAGGGTGAAAACATTACTGGCTGAAATATTAGTGTAGGGGTTGGGGGGGGGAACTTTTCTTTGTGAAATTAAATAAACTATCTATGAATGTTAAACCTCTCTTCTTGGCTGATGGCTGGTGCCTGTGGAACACACTGGTGCTTGTTCTTGCAGTTCAGCTCACACTTCTCTGCTGTGTGAGGAAAATGAGGTTCTGAGCACCTTGGGAAAATACAGTCTGTTCTGTGCATGTCCCAAAGAGTGTGTGGTCATCGGCTTTCATGGTTATCCTTACGAAGGAGAATGGGAAACATGGTTGATTGCAAAGTACACATTGTTTGAAAAACCTCTGCTGAAATGAACCTGCTAGAGGACACTTGCCAGCCTGAAACTGGATTACCTGGATCTCTACCTCATGCACTGACCTTTGGGGTTTGAGGAATAGTAATAGTAATGCACTTGGCAGCTTTACCATGACCTCTGCTTCTGAAGATTTATATGGCTTTACTGCCCAATAACTGCTACCGATGACAAAGTTAATCACGGCTTTGATAAGTACAAGCATTGCTCTCGACTATGTGTGTGGGTCTGCATGGTTTCCTTTCCTGTAGGTGTTTGGATGAGTCATCACATTGAAGGGCCCAGCACAAACACTGCCTTGACTGGGATATGCTGGCCAGAAATACCGGATGGGTGGTGTTTCTTTCTTAGTCTAACACACTGTGAATTTCTCTGTTTAACCAAAGAGATTTGGGGATGGGTGCCATGTCAGAAACAGTACAATAATTACCAGTACCCAACTTTCCACAAGATAACCATGTTGGGCAAGCTCACCAGTTCTTTCTGCATTTTCATGGAGGGAAACAAGGAATATCAGGAAGAATGCATTCAGGCCTTGTCTTGCATCATGACTAGTGACTTCACTGCACTCTGCTAGGCCATGGAAGAGTTGGTAGATGCTGGTCTGGTAAAAGCCATTGGAACTTCCAGCATAAACCGCGAGCAGAATGAAGGAATCCAAAACAAGCCAGGACTGAAATATACACCTGCAAACAAACAAGCAAGCTGATAATTGCGAAACCAGGCCCATAGTTCTCAGGGATTATGAAGATCTGATTAAAGTTGCTTGAGGATGTGGAAAGAGGGAGAACAAAGTGGACATTCCGTGTACTCCAAATGCCACTCTATTGAGAATTCTGGGTACAAATGTCATCAGAAATCCAGGGATTTCAGATCTCTCTAACAGAGCAAACTGGAATTGCCTTGGGCTGCATGTAAAATATATAATGAATTCAACGTATATAAGTTACAAAACATTTTAAATGTAGTTTTTCTTGAAACATAAAACTGAGAGCAACAAAAACATACAACTACTCGGATGTTTGACCTTGTTTTGTGAAACTAATGCATCAGACTGCTTCAGTGGCAGTGGTTGCCATCCATAGTGAATTTTCTAGGTGTTCGTCAGAGATTTTTGATGAAATATTATTTTTCCTGAGCTCCATCCTTGACAATAACTGTTCACAAATGTACAAACTGCCAAAAAATGATGACATGAATAAGGCGTGACTGTGAATCGAGGCATATTTTTCTGTGGTAAGACGGGCGTTATGAATGTCTTGTAAGGAGACACAACCAAAGTTTTTCGTTGACTTGATTGTCTGATTGCAACTCCATAAATTTCATGAGAAAAAAATTGCAAGTAATAAATTTAAGTTGACTGAAAACGAATTCACAAATACACTCAAACATGATCATATTTTTGTTTTAAATTTTGAAACCAGTTCTCATATTTCTTTATCAAAATAGAAAGCAGGGCTGCATATTTTCCATTGTTTACAGCACTGTCTTGAGCCAGTGTATCAAAACGCATGAAATTATTTGTCATAACGTGAGCTTGCCACAATTTAATTTCCATTTCAAATGCTGTTATTGTCTGAAACATAGCACAGATAAAAGTGATTTCCACTCTAAGGACGCACCTTTAACTCATCAAAATGAGCAGCCAAATCCACCAAAAATGCTAAATCTGTGAGCCGTTTTTAACCTTCATGTTCTGGCACAAATTTTCCTTTTGATTCCGTTTTCACTTTGCAAATCATAATTGCAACAGTTTTTTCAGCACTTTACCTCGACTTAGCCACCTTCCTTCAGAAAAGGAAATTATGACCTCAGAATCACCACGCATACTTTTAGGGAATTCTTCAAACTGGCAATGGTAGAGACCTTTGGACTTTGTGAAATTCACAGATTTGATGACCATTTGTATGACAATTTCTACTCTTAGAGCAGGAATTTGCTTGCTGTCTAGTCATCGAATCAAAGAATGGCTTGGGTTAGAAGGGACCTCAAGGATCATTAGGTTCCAACCCCTAGCCACACGCAGGGCTGTCAGCGGCTACATCAAGATTGCCTCTCCATACTGGCCTTGACCACCTCCAGGAATGACGTATCCACAACCTCTATGGTCAAGCTGTTCCAGCGCCTCACCAGTCTTTCAGTAAAGACCTTTCCCCTGACATCTAATCTAAATCTCCCTCCCTTTTGTTGAAAACCACTCCCCTCTGGTCCTATCACTATCTACCCATATAAAAAGTTGATTTCCTTCCTGTTTGTAAACTCCCTTTGAATACTGGAAGGCCACAATGAGATCTCCTCATAGTCTTCTCTTTTCCAGGCTGAGCAAGCCCAGTTCCTTCCGCCCATCTACACAGGAGAGGCGCGCCAACATAGAGTGAGCTGTGGATGCAGGGATAGTTCATCAAACGTGACATACTTGTGGGAATTGAATCATCTTCTATTAATTCTATAAGTATTCATCCTTTGTACCATCACGGGGACACCACCAGTAGCTCTATCAGACATTCTGACAAAGGTGAAAGAAAATTGCTTTAATGTACCTTTGTCACTGTTTCATATAAATCGATCTGTGTCTTTCAATGGCACCAAAGATGCAATTTCTTCGGTGACACTATATTTGTTATCAAAACCTCTAAGGAAAATGCCAAATTGAGCCGTGTCTGTAGCATTAGCACTTTTATCTATCGTCAAAGCGTAACATTTGAAATTAGCAGCATTACTCTCCAATTTTTTTGATAGGTTTTCCTATTTCTTCAGTTCATCTGGCTGTAGTCAGGTGAGACAAACGGAACAGATTTTAGAAAAATCCTGCGTTTTATCAGGACACATCGTATCAGCCACGCTTTTCACGCGTTGCTTAACAAACTCACCATCAGGAAATGGCTTTGATTTTTATGCCATCAGATTAGCTATCCCGTCAGAAGATTTTACAACAGAGTCTATTTGAGTTTTAACTTATTTTTAAATATTTTCTTGAGGTGACAGACCTTGACTCAGTTCCAATACTTTGTCTTTACAAAGCATTCCTCAATATGCATCAAACTGGCAGCATGTCTCTGCACAGGTATTTTGAAATTGTCCTTTTTGAAAACTGACATTATTTCCTTGCAAAAGATCCATAATGCCATATTATCTGTCAGCACTACACTGCACCCTCCCTGTCTCCTGGGGCAGGGTCAGGCTGCTCCACAGTGCTCCGCAGGGCAGAGCTGCCACCATGATGATGCAGCAGCAGGGCACAGGCTGCAGGCTGGACATGCCTGCTGAAGCCTGTACCAATAAACTGGAAGAATTGCAAGCAAAAAGAACAATTCACAAGAAGAAAGTTGGTCCTCTTAAGATCACAAAAACGCCAAGGATACACTTTGACTTCTGAACTTAACCACACGTGCTTTGCATGAACTTCAGCAGCAATGTTTACCCTCTGCCTCAGTTCCTGTTCTGTGAAGTGCAGGAACATTACCTGTGGGCAAAGGGAACAACTTCATTCAGTTGCCCCAGGTGTCTCTCACTGTCCATCTGCACCAGCACGTAGGGACACCAGGCTCTGGCAGGCCAAAACAGACAACACTAGGACAGAGGTACAGGCCCTACCTTGACCTGAGCCTCCCAGCTGTGAGCGCCACAGCATAGGATGGCTCTATGAGAAATTCCATGCCACACCTTGGGGCTCTGATTTGATGAATTTCTGTGGGGCAACCTCTGGCTTTAATAATGCCAAGTCATGGGACAAAGAGCCGCTAACTCAAACAGGCAGTAACCAACTGGGAGAAGTTTAGAAGTGTTGCAAATCACAATCAAAATGTATGCAAACAACTGGGCCGAGGGGCAAGGCCCTGCACAAGCACAAACCGGACCAGAGAACAGCAACACTCAGCTCTCCTTCTGATAAAGAAATGGACTGGGAGTAAAGGTTTATGGGGTGTGCGCAGCCATGCCTTCTGCTGGCAATCACTTCCATAATTCTGGAATGATTTCAGCTTGCACATTAACTCGTGTGAGCTCAGAATAATACACAGCATTGTTGCTGGACACGTGAGAGCTCAGAGCGCAAGCGCAGCTCCACCATCCTCCCCCCGCCCAGAGGCAGCACCATCACGATTAAATAGGCTAGGCAGGAAGCGGCCACAGCACAGCTGGCCTGACAGCCTGAGGAGCCATGGCGACCTACGTGCAGCTGAACACCGGAGCCAAGATGCCCATCCTGGGGCTGGGCACCTGGAAGGTAACAGCTTGACAAAAAAGCACTCATACTGCTGAGATCCCTGGCACCAAGATCACTTGCTTCTGCTCTGCCTGGCTGCGGGACTGAGCCTGTGTGAGAGAGGGGCTACAGAGTAATGGCAGGAGGAGGGATTTGAGTTTCAGAGCACTGATCTTGGGAAAAAAATAATATCAGGGAGGGTTACTTTCTGCAAGGTAGTTTTCCTATTCATCTTTTACGAGGAAATGGGCATTCAAACTGCAGTGATTTGAACTTCTAAAGAAATCATTGTTGTTTCCAGTCCCCACCAGGACAAGTGACAGCTGCAGTGATGGCTGCAATCGATGCTGGATACCGACACTTCGATGGTGCCTATGTGTACCAGAACGAGAAGGAGGTTGGGGATGGGATCCAGCAGAAAATCAAGGAAGGTGTTGTGAAACGAGAGGACCTCTTCATTGTCAGTAAGGTAAACCTCTGATGTCCTTCCGTCCCAAAGCAGGGGATGGGAAATGCTCTGCCTATGCTATTCGCGGAGTAGATAGCTTAGAGTCAAGTTTTACACTGAAGGATGAAGTAATGCCTAACATCCTTCTTGTCATTCCTGATTCAAGCTTACTGCTTCACCCCATGAGGAAGGCAGTGGCCTGGCACCTCATGCCCCTGCTGGAGCTCAGAGACATCCTACACAGTATGGGCACGGGTGAAGGGGAGCAGGAAAAGAGATATAGGGCCATGTAGGCAGAAGAAAGTTAGACATCAGAGACAAACTGCTCTGAGATCACATGTGCTAGTAGGTTGGTACAGGGGCACTACCAGTGTGCTAATGGCACCCTCATGATGACAAAGCACAGCAGAGCAGACAAGCAGTAGTGCCTGTGGAGCACTGCAGTTCTTGCTCCAGCAGTGGGGCTCACACTTGTCTGCTGCATGAGGTACATGAGGTTCTGGGCAGTGTCAGATGCCTTTATTCCCCATGGCCTTCCAAAGAAGATGGAGCATTCCTGTCATCCATAAAAAGGTACACAAAGTTTTAACCCAGGAGATCACAATGTGGCTTGCCTTTCTTGTCTCCAGCTGTGGTCCACATTTCATGAAAAACATCTGGTGAAGGGAGCCTGCCAGAAAACTCTTGCTGATCTAAAACTGGATTACCTGGATCTCTATCTCATCCACTGGCCTTCTGGCTTCAAGGTACAGTAATGGCAGTTCTATTGCCATGCTTTCTTTGGTGACCTTTTCAGAGCTGCACCACTGCTGTTACTGTCTCGAAACATGATGTTGTTCTGGTGCTGTCATTCTGTTCTACTCTGGCCATTTAAGCCAGGCTCTGGAATTCTTCCCACAAGTACAGTGCGTACACGGTGTCCTCTCTCCCTTTAATAATGGGATTGGAAAATCTTACACCAAGCTCAGGCCTCTCAGCTGCAACAAGAAGTTATTCTGCTATCCCTCACACAACTACAATGCATTCATTTCAAATATAACCTTTGCAGAATTCAGCAGAATTTCCTGCTTTTAATGGAACAGTTGATGGCAAGAAGGCCTTGACCTTCCATGAATTTTTAATTTTCTTCTTTTTAAGAAGAAATTACACAAAACTGAATTATCTTACAATGAGAATTTACATGTTTGGTTTTATTTTTTGCATGTACCATTAGCTTTTACTTCCCATACTCCTTTTTGATATCCTCACAATGCTAGCTTACCTAGTGGGATTGTTACAATCATTTTTATTCCACGCTCACAGGCTGGAGAGGATCTATTTCCCACAGATGAGAACGGCATGGTTATACCCAGCAACACTGACCTTCTACAAACATGGGAGGTAAGTTCAACCACAGAAACAGTCCAGTTTTCTCTGTCTTTGACAGTCATTTCCACACTTTATTGCATTCAACACCCTCAGAAATGTCCTTTCACGCATGTACATTTACTTGGAAGAAAATCAAGGAAGTACAAGGTAGATTTCTACATGCTTAGTCATAACTTCCACACTATGGATCCCTGCATGTCTAACTCAGAGTGAGAGTCAAAATCTCTTTCAGGGAAGCTGCAGACCACAGAGAAGATGGAAAAAGTTCACAGCTTGAGCATATCAACTGTCCAATGCACCACAAGTCCTGTCCTCTGGCAGTTCTTGAAGGGCTCAAACACATTTGGCAGGAATAAAGACATTCTAGGTTATGAACTTACCTACAGCCAAGGGCACAACCCTTCAGCGGCCTTGTATAGCAGCAAACCATTGAGTATCATTGTCCTTTTCCTCATGCAATGTGGTGCGATTTTTCACAATGTCACAGAGTTAGACAATGAGCTTGGAGGAGACTGCACCCACATTTCTTCAGCGAGCATTCCAGATCTATATAGTTAATTTGGGGAATCATGCTACAGAAGAGCATCTTCAGGATCCATCTTCCATACCAGATGTTGACTTTGCTCCTCTTTCTGCTAGGCCATGGAAGAGCTGGTGGATGCTGGTCTGACAAAAGCCATTGGCATCTCCAACTTCAACCACGAGCAGATTGAAAGAATCTTGAACAAGCCAGGACTGAAACACAAGCCGGCAAACAACCAGGTAAGCTGATAAGTGATCCCACCTATACATCTTTCATTGACTATGAAGACCTGATCTATTGAATGGGGAGATGGAAAAGAAGAACAATGTGAAGAAGACATTTATCCTTAATCTATCTCTGTGGGTATTTCTGTGTAAAAAATGCACTGACACATTCACCATTTGTCTCTCACTTGGATGAACCACAGTTTGCAAATGGAGACGTAGTTCTTCCAGAAACGTTCCTTCTGGAAGGATAAAGATGACACAGCCTAGTTAAACCTCTGCAGACTAAAAACTTTACACGACAATA